AATATAATTATATAAAATATAACTAATAATTCACATATCATCATAAGATATTAATTTATAAAGTGCATGATATTGATTAGGAAGTAGGAGCATACGAACTAAATGTGCATCTTGATTACCTTGATCATAATTGTCCTGTTTTAAAGTGAAATTGACAATGGTTGGTTCACCTGATTTTACTATGACATTTATTGGTTCACTTGGATGATATCTAAAATTAGAAAAAGTTATATATAAATAAAATGTTATTAAATAAATAATAAATTAACAATTAATCAAAATTAAAGAATAATTTTTAATAATACTAATAAGTATATTTAATTATATAATTAATATTAAATAAACTCAGAATAAATAAATTCTTTATTTAAATATATTCACCCCCATGCTTCTGCATGAATATAATAACTTCCAGGTAATAATAATCGCCAATATTCTCCATGATTTGTACTTGAAACATTATGGTTTATTCCATGTACAATAATAGTTGCTCCTTCTATTGGTTGACCATCTATATCTCTTACAAGACCTATTATTTAAAAAACCAAAAACTAATTTATGATATATATCTTAATAGATATCACAAATTAATATTTAATATCATTGATTAAGAATTATGTTATTTAATGAACATCTAAAAACCTTTTATTCCAATATGAGCTTGTTCAAAATATGTTATAAGAGATTCCTTATTTAATTTCCAATATTCTGGCATTTCTGAAGCATTTGGATATTTACAACAACTAAGTTCAAATGTTATTTCAAATGCATTAGAACGAGCATAATTAAAATCTTGCATTCCTCCAATAACTTCATACCTAAAACAGATAAAAATATTTCCTTTCCACAAACAAAATTTATATTTTTTATTGTTTTTTAAAAACAAAAATTTAAAGTATACTCACCAATATGCTCCATTGATAACACCACCTTGAAAGACATCTGACTCACATGCACGACCTGTACGCATTTGAGGATGGTTATCTGCATATGTATGTGCTAAATATTTGAATAATTCATCATCTGGACTTTTACTTTCAGTACAGCAACTAGTTAAACTACTAAAAAATAATATATTATGTAAATTTCAAATTAATAAATAATATTTTATAATTTAATAATTCAAGATTAAAAATATAAATATTATATCATATTACCCAGAATCATAAGGATAGCTTGCTACAACAGCACCACCATGAAGATTTCCTGATAATACAAATGGTTCTGTAGCAATCCAAGTCATCATAGCTACTGTTTCATTTTGACGTCCATCTAATATATTACCACCTTTTTGAAGATGATTAGTTCTTCTATCAAATTGATCTGGAAAATTTCTATTTAAATCAACATGATTTGCATTTTCGCGACCTGAAAAGTCTTTTTTGGATTCACATTTTCCTTCCTAAATATATAAAAGAATATTAAATCAGAATTTATATAAATTATATAAATTAACTTATATATCATAAAGATAAAAAATAATAAATTATAAAATAATAATAAATACAAATTTTACCTCTGATTTTTCAAATCCATCAGGATTCATTGATGGCATAAGATATATATCAGTATTATTGATCAACTTTGTAATTCTTTCATCCTTTCCATAATTATGTAGAAAATATTGGGCAAGATATACTAATAATTCTCTACCAACAGCTTCATCACCATGCATATTAGCAACATATTTCACCATTGGTTCACACAGTTTTCGTTCTTTAACATTCTCAGAAATTTCAAGAACTAACAAATTTCTACCTTCCACTGATTTTCCTATGGAGAATACTTTTGCCAAATTTGGATATTTTTGAACCAATGAATTAAATAACTGTTGAAGTTCTTCATAATGTGTGTAATGTGGAATGATAAAATTTTCTTCTAATTTATTTTCAGAATTAATCGCAAAACCATAAATAATTCCAACAAATAATATCATAAACGGCATGGTATATATGATACTTATGTGTGCCATATTTAGATACTTTTTTTTGTGTAAAAATATAAAAAACTTTATTTTCAATGAAACATTCTACAGAAAACAATATATTTATACAATATCAATATAATATAAGTATGTACTGATGATTGATGACTGATGATTAATGACTGATGACTGATGACGTCCACACAAATGTAAGCGTAGGTAGAAAAGGATAGAAAAATTACTATGAATAATATATAGTATAAATTGTACAAGTACTAAAAGCATATTTTGAAAAGTTGGCAATCTGAACAGTAAAGAATTATTTTATTTATTGCTCAACTTCATGAGATTATATAATCTTATTTAAAAATTATGATATATTGGTCTACTGATAATCTTCATTTTTATGATTGTATTCGATCTATTAAAAATAATTATTCAAACTCATTTTTTAATTATATATATGTATAATAATATATACTTATTTATTTTAAATTTTTAAATCGAAATATAATTTGAATTTAGCGCATATTTTATTCTTTAATTAATAAAATAAAAATCGTGTATATAATCAGTAATAATTCGAAAAATTCCTAAAAAAGCAAAAATGCCTTTCTATAATTTTTAACTCGAATAAATTTTAATCGAAATCATCATTTTTAGATTTTGTACATTAGAATTTGTAGAAATATTTTTAAAAAATATAAAAATGTTACAATTTAATCAAAAAATTTTATATTAAAATTAAAAGAACGTTTATGCATAATTAATCATAACCTATTCTAAAATTGATTCTAAACTATTATATATATAAGTTCTATAACATATTATAACAAAATATATATATATTACATCCTTTTTTTTTAAATATTTTAGCATTGTTTAAATTTTAAAATTTGTTTATATTTTATTTAAATTTATTTTAATAAAATTATATTAAAGAAATATTATAATGTTTGCAAACATAAAAAACATAAAAAACCTATAATATCTTTAATATAATCACATAAATATTTGTGAGAGTTTAATAAATAATATTGTATAAATATGTCGGATATTAAAGAAGAGAAACAGTAAGTAATAAAAATAGTAATAATAAAATTGAATATAAAAAAAAATGAACAAATTATTAATCATCATAATAAATTTTAGATACGGTTTAATTTTATCTAAAAAACAACATATTATTCCAAAGGTTAATAATATATTTGGTGATAGTAATGATTCAGATGAAGAAGATGGTACAGACTGGGTTAAAAAAGCTCTTCAGGCAGAAGGAGAAAAAAACAAAATAAAAAAACAAATAAAATTAAATATGCAAAAAGCATTGAAAGAAAATCCAACAATATTCCAATATGATGAAGTATATGATGATATAGAAAGAAAAAAAGATCAATCTAAAACTACAAAAGATGAAAAAAAGAAACCAAAATATATTCAAAATCTTTTGAAAGCTGCTGAACGAAGAAAAAAAGAACAAGAATATAGAATAGAAAGAATGGTTCAAAAAGAACGAGAAGCAGAGGGAACAATGTATGCAGATAAAGAAAGTTTTGTTACTTCTGCTTATAGAGCAAAATTAGAAGAATTTAAAAGGATGGAAGAAGAAGAAAATAGAATGGATAAATTAGAAGCTATTGCAGATGTTAAAAAACAGCAAGATATGTCAGGGTTTTATAGACATTTGTATGTGCAGACTACTCAATCTTCAGAGAAATCTGAAATCAAAAACAATATAAATAATGATGAAAGTGATTTTGATAATGTAACTAAAAAGGTAGATATCAGTGCTGTAAATAAAGAACAAATTAAAAATAAAGAAATAAAAAAAAATAGACAATATAGACAAAGAAAAGTAGAAGAAGACAGTGACACAGAAATTGAAATTGAAGAAAAAATGGAAAATAAAGTAAACATTATTTTACCTGAAAAACGCAAAAATATTGAAAAAGAAACTGTCGAAATAGAATGTGATGCTAAAAAACAAAAGCAACAAACTGAAAATATTAAATCTGAAGAAAATCTTAATGAAATTAAAATAGAAAATACTTTCAATTCAAAAAATGATGATAAAATATTAGAAAAATCTGAAAATAATGATGAAACTGAAAGAAAAACTATTAGCTTAAAAGCAAAAATAGAAGCAGAAAAAAAAGAACGATCTAAAATTTGGGAAAAAAGAACAATTGGTCCTGAATTTGAAGCAGCATTGCAAAGATATTATTCTAGGAAATCTATGAGATTGTCAATTACATAATTTAATGTATTTATAAAATGTGTAAAAATAAAAAGTATTTAAAAAGTATTCAGTAATATATTAGGATTTTACATAATTCTGATAAAAAACACATTTATAATATAGAATATAAGATTTTTCTTTTTAATATAATATGTATGTATGTAATAAAATAGTTAATTAAAATATTGTATAGAAATTGTATTAACAATACATTGTAATCTGGAAAAATGTCTGTTAGCAATATTATAATATATAAATTTTTATACACAAAAACAAATCATGGCACATTATGGTTACAATACATTATTTAACTTCTATAATGCTAATACACAATAAAATCATATACATATATTCTTCCTTATTTTCAAAATATTCTATGCATTGCATATAATTTTTTTATTTAAAAAATATTATTTTATGCAAGTATAAAAATTTTTTGAAAATATGATATTAATGGTTTTATAAATAATTAAAAATATTTCATTTTTAGCAAATCATAAATTGCATGATTTAAATATTTCATTACTAAACGAATAAATAAATTATATGATTTAATAAGATGAAATAAGCTGTGGTTCCATATGTCCACTATCACCTAAACTTCTTAATGTTACCCTTCCATTAGGACGAATAGATACCCATGTAATACTTCCATGATTTAAACTTAAACGTAACCAACCTTCAGGTGGAAATTGCAATGCTCTAAAACAAATAAAATAATGATACATAAATTTTACATTAATATATGAATTTTTAATTCTATTTTTATTTAACAATATATTACCGACAAACAAAATATCTAATAACGTTTGCATGGCAAACAAGAATAACATATGAATCTTTTTCCTGACTAGGTTCTGGACGATGAAAATATTTTCTAAATGCAGCTTCTATTCTAGGTCCATCTTCATAAACCTGAAATATATTAAAAAAAAGTAATATTATAATATATTAAAGAAAAAAAATGATTTAATGAGAACTAAGTTTTAAAATTTTTCATTTCTTTTTCATAATATAATACAAAAATATATAATATTCCAAAAATAAAACTTTTAATAATTGTATTTATAATATTATATACTTACAACTACTTCAGAATTCCAAACATTAATTGGAGGATCAGGTGCAATTGGCATACCTTCACTAAGTACAGAATCTTCTTTGAGTGTTATATCTTTAAGATATTTTTCTATAATTTTAGCAGTTTCTTTAGCTCGAATTATTGTTGATTGTACAATTAAAGAATATGGTAACCCTAATTCCTGTAATCTCTTTCCTGTTGCTTCTGCTTGTTGCCTACCTTTATATTTTAAAACTTTCATAATTATTAATATATATTTTCTTAATAGATTTATATTTTTATTATAAAAATTTAATATATTTAATAAAATTATAATATGTTATTTGATACCAACCAAGAGTTGTAAGTGTTCGATCTAAATCTGTTTTGCCTTTTGTATTATATTGTCCATGACGAATTAAAATTATATGATGTTTCACATTTGATTTCTTAATTGATCTTTTTTTACGCGATTCTTTATCAGTTTCTTGTTCATCTGATTTAGCTACGTTTGCTAACCATTCTGGATGTCGTCTATAAATGAATATAATAAATTGAATTTTTAAATAAATAAAACAAAAAATATAAAATTCACAGAATTTTACAGAAACAAATATTAAATAAATAAAATTTATAAATATTTCTAATTTATAATATAATATTTTTATTTATACTATTTTTAAAGCAAAAATAAAAATATAA